TATTTTGTCTCCAGTGCTGTTACTAAATTCCGCACTAAGCAAAATAGCATTTTTTTATAGTGTTGATGAAATTTTACGCAAATGTCAACGGGTTTGCATTTAATATGCGTCTAATAGTCGCGTCCGCCTAGTTATGTAAAAGACGATGTTTCATTTTCACACCTGCCATTTTAGTTCTTGTGCAAAATGGTTTTAAGAAAGTTTTGATAAAATTGTGTAAATTTTCCAATTTTAATTTAACATAAAAGGTGGTTGGAGTAAAGTAGTAGTATTATCCCACAAATCCCAAAAAAAACCATCCAAAAAAAATCATCCCAAAAAAACATAATATTAACTCTCGTTTGCGTTTTTGTGGTAGTTTTTCCTTTTTGTGTAGACTTTGTATAAAAAATTTGACGACTGTTAAAAAATTGAAAACAACACAAAAATCAAATCCTTCACCTATTTGAGTAGGTATGTTGTCACAATCATAGCAATGTGTGTAAATCTTTCCAAGATTATTCTAATATTTTTCAAAAGATTAAATTAAAACGTTTTTTTCTTATTTATCGTATCCACTTGAGAATGTTTCATCAAATCTTACATTTAAGAATTATAGAAAGAAAGAAAGCATTTTAATGGCTTTCACAGCAATAAGTTAAAGTACATTAAAAAACAAAACAGATAGAAAAACATGAAATGACAAAGAAAATAAAAAGAAACATCAACAAAACTAATTTATGTAGTCTCTGCAAGGCTAGCTAGGCTACTGTTGGTCAATTTATATTATAGTAATTTATACAAAATGCGAAATTATATTGAAGATAGGAACATCGCGCTTGATAGAGAGTACACACGGATAAGATATTTAATTACAACCAAGCAGGTTAACAAAGTGAAACAAGATATTTATGAACCTATTAATGATGCATCTGAAACCTGTATCTCATTTATTTAGTTATCTCCAAATCTATCATCTGAGTATCTCTTATCTATTAGACAAGTCCGTCCGTCCGTCCGTCTGTCTGTGGTGCTGCTTCAGCGGCCAAACCGTAAGAGATAGATAAAGAGAATATTTAAGTTATAAGTTAAGAATAGTCTGATAACACTACAAACCGGATTTGAGTAACGTAGCACTTCCGGTTTTCGAGAAATCACGAATTTCAAACGAAACCACACAAAATCTCTGAAGTTCTCAATTAATTACATACATTTTTTTTAAATCAGGTTTTGTTGAACATCTGGTTCACTGGTTTGCTAGTTTAAGCTATTTTAAAAGCATTTATTCGCTACAAAGTATATGATTGCATTATCAGGTTGAAACCACAACACACAGATTGAAATGAAATTTTGCACACGCGTTTAGTTTGGACGCCAATGCATGGTTAGCTAAGAGACATTATTCTAAATCCAATATTTGAGTGAAAAGGGTTTATGAAGAAGAAATTAAGATATAAGAGAACTTCTGCTTTAAATTATTGTTATTTATTAGATAAAATATGTTTCTAGAATTTTGATAATAAATATTTTTATAAATAGAGTAATTCGGAAAGCAGTTCCATTCGACCTTCGATTATGGTAAAAATTTAGGCTTCGCGGTCGCGATCCGTTACAAAAATGCGTTCCGCTTTCAAGCAACGGGCTTTCTTGTTGTGTAACATGATATGCCATCATTTGAAGTAACTTTACGATCGCTTCGGAATTATACCAATATTTTATAATTGTCGCTCAATTAACTTTTGGCGGTCTGAATCCGGTTTATGACGTTTTTTAGCATAAATAATGTTATGTCAAAAACGGATTTCTGATGATATAAAAAAGCTTTTCACATATACTTAGCAACTAACTATTCGTAAATTACCTAATGTATCATTCGATTTGCCACCAGCTACATACTTGTTAAGTTTTATTTGTAAATGGAAATAAAGCTTATCAGTTTTAATTAGTTTTACCATTACGTCTTTCTAGAGTGAATATTTTCAGGCAAAATTTAAAGATTGATTGATTAAAAAAAAACAAGATTTGACCCTCACATTCCCATTCTTCACACCCTCTGGCACAGATATCTGTCGATTACAGATATCTTCAGATATTCCGTATCACAAGCCTACAGTGTCGACTTTGGAGCTAGGCTAATTAGTGTGTGTTGTTAAAAACCCTAAATTAGAATATACTACTTTTACTATAACCGACAATATAAAAAATAAAATAAAAAGCCTTTTTATTTCCAGAACTTAAAGTTTACACCTCTTACAATCTATTTTAGTGTTAGTTCATGTAGTTTAATCTATGTTAGTATAATTTCTTCTTTCTTTACTTAATTCTATGTGTATCCTAATTTCTATATATTTTTTTTTAAAAAGTATTTTAAATTTGATTTTTTTTTTAATTTAATCTACTGGAACCCTAAGTTGGGTGAAGGCCTCCTCCAGTGACGCCCATTTGTCTCTGTCTTCAGCTACTTTTGACCAGTTTGGACCAGCTATCGCTTTAATTACGTCTTCCCATCGTCTAATAGGTCTACCTTTTGTTCTTTTGACCAACAATAGTTAAGTCAAACAAAATCCAACATCGTCACACAGGACGTCACTAGTTCAAGTTTTCACCGCTACTACTAACTAGCTTTCAAAACTTTTATGTGCACGTAAACAGTTTTATTTCCAAAGTAAAAGTCGCGTTATGCAAACGATTACCGTGCAAATCCTTGACTTGAACAAAACTGTTCTTCATGTTTGATATAATAAATTCAATTTAAAAAATAAATTATAATCTATATGCTATTATGAGCATGAGCTTTATTATTGGTCAGTTTGATTAAAATCCATTTAGTATTTTTTGAGTGAAAGAGTTACAAAGATCCATGCAAACGTAAGATTGAAATTAAAAGCGCAAGTGGTTAATATACAACTTTAAATCGTTGTAGATCCTAAACAATCGTAAAAAATGAAAAATGGTGTAAGGAACCTAAACATGATTTTCGATTATCTAGACAATGATAGACTCGACACATTTCGACAACTTATTTTTTTTTTCTTTCTCACAATATGGCGCCCAGTTGTCTCCATATTGATTTTTGATTATATCATATCTTTAGTAGCACTCCCATGATTAAGACGAATCGATTAATGTATAAATCATCAAAATCGGTCTACGCGTTTGATCTCTAGTGTGCCACAAAGGAACAAACATACATATATAGACTGTTAAACACTATACCCTGTCTGCGCGTCGCGCTTCACGCTCTTGCATTGCGCAGTCGGGTAAAAATGGTTTTTGCTACACGAATAATGACAGCGACATTGTTTCAAGTGTTTTTTTTTTCAACATTGAAAGACGTAGAATGTGACATTGTTAATAACTTAGAATGCATATGGGCTGCGCTATATTTGTCGACCTGCTGTTATTTGACGATTCGTTCGAAAGACTCCAGTTTCGTTATTGATAAAGTATCTACTAAGTACCTATATATGTACTAATACAGAATATATGCAGGAGTTACTAAATCCGTGCTTCAGAAGGCACGTTATATTATCATCTGCAATCGTTAGCATCCATCAATATTCAATACGTACTGGGCCCGCATGATGGACCATGGCTTAATCCTATCCGTAGAGAATTCCTGTTCCCAACTGTGGGGGCATTTATAGGCTAATGATAAAGATCTGTTATAGGATTACTAACTCGATGCCTATTGATAATCTAAAATCGTGTAAGAAACCAAGTTTTAGTTTTAATTATCAATTATAGTAGTATATGTTATTAACGGGATTGTTACCATGTACCTTGTACTTAGAAGGTGATCTCCGTGATCATGGCGCTTGCAACAGTGCCGAAATAGCGGAAACTCGCTAAAAACAAGGTACATGGTAACAATCCCGTTAAGAACATATATTATTATAATGTTAGTAACCATGAAAGTTTATCAAGTTAAGATTCCAATCATTAATAGTCCACTTTCCTTATTAAATGTCCTTTCAAAATTGATAATTAACCTTGAATCCAATTAAAGTAATTATCATCGGTGATATTGTCAACTTTCTTCGGCCGTTTACAATAGCGACTTTTTGTAAAGACCCGTTGCTCGCGATAGATAACAATTCGATTGTTAGTAACGTTGTAACTTTCTTTCTCAGAGTGAATCTTTAGACATCTTAACGAGATCATAGTCAATAGAAAATGTATAGTTTGTGAAATTAATTAATTGCTGTAGAACACTTACAAGATACTTTCAAAGAAACAAAAAGAATCGGAAACAATTAGCGTAGAATATTAAGTTACAGTAGAAAAACTATTCAGTTTGAAGTCGCTGTTGCTACCTTAACACAATTATGTATTTATGTCTGTTCAATCCATGAACATCAGTTAACGGAACTAAATATAGCATGATTTTCTAGTCCTCAAATTTAATTATAACAACAACTTTTCAGAATAAACCACTCTAAAATGTAATTTTGAGTTTTGAGAAACGTGTTAAAGTTAGGCCCAGTATTATAGTACAAATCAACACAAAATTCATTTGCCAATTTACAAATTTTACTTTAACCGAAGTAAGATGCCAACCCTTGAATTACAAGTAGGACAAGTACACAATGTATGAAACTATTTTTGAATTATAAACTTACAATTGACAATGGTTTCACAAAAATTATGCTTCAACTTACGTAATCCCAAAAAGTTAGTATAATGATAGAATGATATTGACTTTTAAAGTTCTTCTTTAAAAATTACGATAGATGCGCAAAGGGCTTCTTATCCAACTACATGGTTCAAACTGAGTTACTGTTATATTCACGTTTCATTTTGATAGGTGATGGATAACATCAATGCATTTATATGCTAGTGTCAGCTATACATCTATATGTATTTCATACCATAATTGCATTTCTTTATGAATTTCTTGTACCAATAAAATATTTTAAATTACCTGAGCTACATTAAGTAGCTCTTACATCTGTATGTATTTCATATCATAATTGCATTTCTTTTAGAATTTCTTGTACCAGTAAAATATTTTAAATTACCTGAGCTAGATTAAGCGGCTCTTTTCCCGGCGGCGTGGTAACTTGATTCGCGACCAGCGATGCCAGCGCCACTCGCTGATTCCCAGACATCGCCCTGATGATGGGCAGCAGCTGCGCAAACTTCCCTACGTGGTCCTTCCTCTCCAACGCTCTTAAAACCGCATCCTTTATCATGCCTTCTCTAGACCTCAACTTGTAAGAAGGCTTGTAACTCTTTCTCGTAGTAGTCTCCGCAACATCTTCGAAGCCAATATCATCTTCAAACGAATCCAAATTGTACTGCGGTCGATGCGAATTCGTCACACCCGTTGGTTTCACTATTCTCACTGGTGGCTTCACAAAGGTCTGATAATGTCGTGATTCTTGAGCGATCATCACCTCATCATCACCATCAGAGAAATCGAAGTCTTTCAAATCTTCCTCGCACCTGAACATGCAAACCAGAACGGCTATCAGGAGCCCACGAAACAAATTCACACACGGCATTTTCTATTCCAAAAGTTTTTTTTTTACATTAAAGTTAAAAAAGCGAAGACTCTACTCATAGTTTTCACTAATATTGTAACTATCGAAGCGTATTCCACATGTTGATTCGAGGGAATGTCAACGCAAAAACTGACGCGTTGAATATTGTATGAGAAGAGCGCGTGTGCATAAGCGTGGGTTTGTTGCGCGCGCGTCGCTCACCTCGTCTCCGCGCCGAGTGAGCCGTGCGAACATACAAACATACTCTCATCTCTCATATTTACAGGTGTCAGATTATGCCGGAACTGGCCACTTTCTCCGCTTGGGTCAAATGCTCGGTCACATTATGATAAGTCATCTCGGTTATCATCGGTCAACAAAAGGCCTATCGGTGCGTTGCGTAAAGATTCGGACTCCAACGGTTTCAATACGCAACAATAGATCTAAAGCTCATCAAAATTTAACGGACAAACGGAAAGAGATTTTAACATTTCGCATTTAAGAGCTATATTTTCTTGATCATATCTTTTTTTGTTTAGACCATGATGATAGTATAGTTTTTACACGCAAAGATGCTTTCACAGTTATTAGGTGTTATAGCATTGTTACGAAATAGTTTTGATCCGCGGGCAATTTAGATTTTTCGATAGCTGTGGATCATTGCATTCGGAATGCCGTTCTTAATTACAATGATTTAAGCTTGTATCTATCTATAGCTATCGAGATGACTTTAAAAATTTGCGTAAAAGCTTATTTGATGACATCGTACATGTTGCGTTGCCAGATAAAAATGATAAAACGATTGTCATCGTCTTACATTGATAAATTCAGCATAACGTTTGGCCCTGTCCGTTGAACGACTTCGTATATGACGCGATTTTATCACGTTTAATTGTTAAATGACTATAGAGTTTGACAATTAGATCCGAAAAAAAAACGTAACATAATGTAAACGTGGTGCTCATGCTACAGGCAAAGTGCTGTATAAGAACTGCAACACGAAGACACTTGAACTACCAAAAAGTAATACCAATTTCTTTTTCCATTCCTTTTCTGTTCGTGCTGCTTTACTCTGGATTAGACTTCCATCTAGTATTCAAGACTGTCCTTCTATTGTCCCTTTTAAAGCAAAGGTCAGAGAGCACTTTATGGAAATAAATTCACACTCTTAGTAGTCTATCTATTCCACTCTTTGTTTTACTTTAACATAATTTCATGTAATGTGTATTTATTATTTTATAGTGTATGTATGTATATATATGTATACATACATACACTATAAAATACATATACATATATATATATATATATATATATATGTATATGTATTTTATAGTGACATGTATGTATGTATACATATATATTATATGATTTATTGTAAGTATTTGTGTATATACATATGAATATATATTTATGTATGTAGTCTTAGATAGGTATATAATCTTCAATTCTTCAATCATCATTTCTCTCACTAAACCTTGGTTGGCTGGAAGAGATCTCTCTTAGAGATAAGCTCTCCTTTGCTCACATATTTATATTTTGTATCTTACAATTTTTGTGTGCAATAAAGAGTATAATAAGAAACCTAGAAGCCAGCTCAAATTTTTCTTTCAATCCCAGCTAGGCTGGCCAGATGGCCGGGAAATCCAGGATTGTTCCGGAATTTTACATCTTGTCCTGTGTCCAGTAATTAGACCATATTGTCCCGGATTCCATTAATGTGCTAGTTTCGTAACAAAATAAACTAATACCGAATGACACCGCTGGCCTGATTGATATTTAATTCTGGGGTGTGATGGGAGTTTGATTTTTTCAAGGGATGGGGGCAAATGTCCCGGAATTGATAAGCTAGCATCTGGCAACTCTTATCCCAGCCAAGCACGTATTATTAACACATATTTCTCTAAGTTGAAAGAAGCACTTTTCATGGCGTCAAACGGTTTTATATCCGTCAAAAGCGATGCTTCGAGATCATTGCGAGGGATTCAGAGCGTGGAAGCCGTATTCCGATCTTTAAGTATATTCAACGAATTCTGATACAGGTAGAATACCATTATCACGCACTGTACGACTGTACACTAACTCAACGTTTTAAAGATTGTATTATAAAATAAGAAAATTAACATAATATAATATAATAAGAAAATTAATTAACAATGGAAATATAATTTTGTTTTATAATGTTCACCTCCCGAGTTTTGTCAACATATTGTAATGCGAATCATTCAGAAAAACTGAAATGTGAGGTCTTTGCGTAACGAGCTCAGCTCAGAAATTTTGTATTGGTGAATAAATATATTTATGATTTATGAATTAAAAGTAATAAATAACATTCATGTCGTGTATACTTTTCGTATGTAGAGATAAAGCTGAATTTTACATTGCTTTATGTACCACCAAAGAGTAGTTTAGTGTCTTTGGTTACCAAGTAACCTACCAATAATTTTAATCCATCAGAATTGCTTCACTGTTTTTGCTGTGAAAAGTTATCGCATTATGATAGAAATACTTTCTTGTTTGCTATTAATATGGTTAAGCCAAGTATGGGAGCCAAGCCAAGAAGCAAAACCTATTCAGGTTATTTTTTTGGTTTTAAAGGAGAAGTCATATATGTTTTTTTAAGTGAAACTTCTTTACGCACGCTTGACTTGGGGGGTAAGCTGGCGAATGCGTTACACGTTACGAAAAGTGTGTTCGGGCGAGGGAGTTGAGTGGGGGATATAAGCAAGAGAAAGCAGTGCGCGCTCACATTTTCTTTCTCTCTTTCTCTTATAGCTAGTAAACGAAATATGTATATGTACATACATGTATATATTGTACACACACACTCACACATATATAACATCATCATCATCATCAGCCTATTAATATTATTACTGTTTTTACCGTAGAAGAGAGCTACAACAAACAAAATGATAAGGTGTACGCACACAGTATCAGGTCAAAATTTTTTCATCCGAAAAAAGCATTTCCCGATATTGTTTCCCGCGTACCGCTTCAACAAAGCGAGGCATCCCTTCAGTATCGGGTCTATTAGACGAACATTCAAACGATGTACTGTTTTTCTTCGATATGCCCGAAGCCTTAAGTCTTCATTTAACACCCTTTTCACCGTGGTTCTACTTAACCCCATCTGAAGGGCCAACAGTTTCTGCTTACGTTTGGGATTTCTTTGAATTCGCGCCTTCACAGCTTTTATCACTGCTGGAGTCCTAACAGACCGAGGGCGACCACTTCTTGACCTGTCATCTACACTAGAGTCTTCATTGTATCGTTTGATGGTACGATAAACGAAAGTTTTGGTTATATTAAAATTTTTCAGTGTGTCAAAAATTTGAATTGGCGCGTAACCGCAACGATGCAACGCAATAACTGCAACACGGTCTTATTTAAGCGTCCACTCCATATTTAAAAATGAGTAAAATTCTACATTTTAATTTTCATGAACAATTCGAAATTCGAATTCAATAAACTTTTTTTGTGGCCAGCATTCTAAAAGAAAAGTTTTTACTGTGTGACAATACTTATGACCTGACTGTGTATTTGTAGTAACTCGCCCGTTAACTCTCAGAAAGTCCATTTGGTAAAATGCCCCCTGAAAGTCTCACCGATAAGTATTTTACGATTTCCGAGGCAGATGTCACAAAATTAGAGCTGATACACACATAAAGAAAAACCTTTTACGAATTCCTTTGGATATCTGACATTGAAACTTTTAACCTTATCTAAAAACGAAGATATAGGATCCTAACAGAATACACAGATCGGCCTTATAAAATCGTAAAATACTTCGAATTGCATTGTATTTGCATTTCAGCCACATAGAAAGCTAAGCATCTTCATCTTCAGCAGGCTTCAACAATAAAGCGAGCGTAACTTCTAACACATGTAATTAAATGTTTTTCTTTCTTTCTTTCTTTCTTTCTTTCACGTGTATTCTTAGCGTATATTGAATGAGAGTGTTGATATCTTCCATGAATCTTTTCTACGATTTAGGACTAAAGTTTCTGCGTTATTAACAGATACATAGGCCAATTTTATTTTTATTTTTGTCGTTAAATTTGTTATATCGAATAATTATACATATTCGTTTTCTGTTGTCTATAGTTTCAAAGCTACTAATAGTTCATACACTTCATTATTTACATGTGGTTTCAGTTTGTCTTTCTGTTTGTTTATTTAATTAAAATTCGGTCCGTTCGTACGGTCTCTTAAGCATGATGTGGCTACCTTCAATAGAATTTTGCATTTGGTATGTATCACTATAATGTTTAAAAATACGATTTAATGTAACTTTCTCTGGTGGTCCTAATAAATAAATAAATAAATTTTATTTTAAAATGAGTTAATCACAGTTTAAAGTCATTGTCGTATGTCACGCGTGCGTTCTGCTCAGTGCTGTCAGCTGGCGCCCCCAATTCTAGGAAACCCTTATAACGGGATCATTTAGAGGGCAAGGCCAAATTGGCCTCTAAGAAGTTGGTGTTCTCAATAGATCAAGAATGTACTTCACACCGGCCCACCGACTGCAGCTTTATAAGGCACAGGTTCGGCCTCACATGGAGTACTGCTCTCATCTTTGGGCGGGGGCACCCCAGTACCAGCTTCTCCCTTTGGATCGCTCTGCATCTTCTATCGCACTTATCACGGGGAGTGTTCTGAGGAATTGTTCGGATTAATTCCAGCTGCTGCATTTCGCCATCGTACATCGCGACAAAAATTTCATCCCCATCATCTTGATGCGTGGCTATCCACAATCGCGCGTTTTTGTCGAATTTTTTTACCACGTACGACAAAACTGTGGAATATGTTGTCGCCAGCAGTGTTTCCGGACCAATACGACCCAAAAACCTTCAAAAAAAGAGCGTACTCCTTCCTTAAAGGCCGGCATCGCATTTGTGATACTCCTGGTGTTGCAAGTGTCCATGGGCGACGGTGATCACTTACCATCAGGTGAACCGTCTGCTCGTATGCCACCTATAACATAAAAAAAATGGGTGCGTGTACTTATGTAGGCGCGTGAGAAGTTATCCTTCTTTGGCATCGTTTAAAATTAGTTTTTCATTGCATGCAAATAATTAATTACAATAAATTAATAAAAAGTCTGGAAAAGGACGAAGTCAATAAAGTTCAGTTTTAATTTGAAAAAATAAATAAATAATCAAAATATTCAATTAAAATCGCTACTGAATATAATTTATTAGAACATATGTGATTTGCACTTGTATGAAA